ATCTGCGGTGTGAAAATGGCAAACAACCGGTCAGACATGAGCCATTCATCCTGGCTGACACTGCTTAAAGCATATATTATTTCCTGTTCTATTTCGCCAACAACAACTTGTACAGCTTGTACATTATCGATGGTTTTCACCGGAAACGTCCGTTTTCTTGGTGGCGTCATGTGCTCTTGGATGAGTTGGAGCCGGTTATTGCATTCTGCTTGCAGTTCCCGTGTCGCTCGTTAATGAGCCAACGTATCACGTTGTTATTGTTCAACTCTCGACTACTTTTTCGAAGGGACGTATCGATGATCAAATGCATTGTTTACAAAAGTGTAGACAATGCATTTGATCGTCGATTTGGCGTAACTGGTAGCTCGCTCACGCATACTAACACCTCTATCAGGTAGGGGAATTTTTCTCCTATCTGATGGTACTGTTAGAATGCGTGGGTGAACTACCAGTTACGCCAAATCGACGATCAAATGCATAGTTTACAAAAGCTGATACGTCCCTTCGAAAAAGTAGTCGAGAACTAAAGAAATACAAATAAAAACAAATTACTACTTAGTGTGCCGTAGCACAATAAAGTGAATAACTATAATTACCTCTGTCATACCGAGCATTGGTACGATCGAATTCCTTCTCCAAAAATCTTCACAAAGAATTTGAGTCGCTCATTGTTACTGAACAATAATAAATAACTCATCAAGCAAAATGAAAGTCAGCACAGCTTGACATACCAAAAACGGTTGAGTGAACAATTTTTGGGACAGGACAGGTCTTATAAGAATTTTCACCATTGCGCACGGTGACATGAAAGTCCCAATTAATGAATGAAAATTTAACCATTTTGACACGCGTTTTAGCGTGTGGCTTTTAGCCCTGCATTTTTTTCTGTGCATGAGTAAATAGTACCCTTTTTACTGAAAATGTTCAATACAGTATCGTAAAAGGTTCTGTTGGCTATCAAAAGCAACAGCAAATGCACCGAAAATTGTTTCAACGCAACGAAGACCTCCCCACTTATTGGATATTTGCATCAATTTTATGGTCTTATGTGTGGATAGAAATGGGGTCTTATATCATGTACCGAACCAAGATTCAGAAAATCTGTAAGTCAATCAAAGGACCCACTTCACTTATAAGACCAGGACCAGCTTCACTTATAAGACCTGGTTTAGTTGGTGGATGGAAATAAGTGGGCTTCTCTTTTAAGACCCCAGGTCTTATTTGCATTGGAAGACTGAAGCCAACCGATGATCGCATTTAGGCCCTTATGATACTCAACGCTAGATATGTTTATTATATGATCACCGTCTACATTACTAGGATACCACATATAATCACTATTCCATCCTTTTGCCGTGTCTCAATCGAGGCCTCTCCATTTCCTTAAAAACTGCTTTCAATTCCATCCTTCAGTTCATGCAACATTGAGTTCTGCAGATCATCATCGGAATCACTTTCCATGTCCTTTTCTTCTAGGTATTGGTGATATGACTTATCGTTTTCTTTGTGTTTATCAGCTTTTTTTCTTGTTACGCCAAGTGCTCCACCTGCTAGCCATTGTATGATTAAAAAAAAAATATTAATACTGACTTAACAGGTTGTATTGGAATTTGAAAATACAGTTGCACTCACTTAGTTTCACTGCCAGTATTTTATAATTACTACGTAAACCGACTTCGCCTGTATATCATTATTCATTACATACTCTTAAATAATATTCGATAAAAAATACAATTGCCAGATTTTATAATAGATAAAATCTATGGCCGGTCCCGGCGGCATCCGATTTAATACATTATCGAATCTTTTGACGAAAATAACTAGTGTACTAATCCCGACGTTGTCGGTTGAATAATAGGCCTTTTTTTTGTATACTCCCGATTTCGCCGGTCGACAGTTAAATTCCCTGTATGTTTAATTTTTTATGGGGTAGTCATCGATAGACTTGATGCTCATCCTTTTTTTTTTTTTTTCGTAAATGACAAAGATAAACCTGGTAAGGGGCTGTTCATAAACTACGTAGTTCAAATTAAAAAGTTATGGCAAAAAAGGTTTTTAAGGGTGTACTAGCGTTAGTGCTCCATTTTCACCCTATAACTTCGTCCACGTAAGAGATAGAAAATTGACGTCTTCGACAAAGTTTCTTAAAATGACTTCATCTGTTTCCATAAATGTTTATCTATTTCAACAAGACATAAAAAAAGTTATTTTTATTCTTAGTGTAAACCCCCCTTAATCAAAAAATTAGAAGGGTCTGTGCCTAGGGGCACGAACGGAAGCTTGACGTAGGACCGCTAGTGGATGGAACAAATGTGAACATTTAGTTTTTTTAATTGATCAATCATCAATTATCTTAACTCTTTTCATTTCATTCAAGGGACTGCCAACTTGAGTATTTTAGATTCATCAACCCGTGAATTTTTTGTTATTTATGATTTTTTTAAGAATTCTGATGAATGTGGGCGTCTTAGTGGAATACTTGTATAATGAGAGAGAAAAGGATTAGTAATTTCCATTTAATTTCACTACCTTATTTGCTTATCCATAACAGATACGCGTATTTCGTCTACAATGTGCAGACTTCTTCAGTAAACCACTCCCCTCCCCCCCTAACAAATTGGTAGATAAATTTCCAATCGTTTGGCTTGTTTAGCATTAAAATCTGTCTGCTATTGGTCGAAACCTTGGTGACACGCTTGGCATAGATGACCGACCCGCAGCGACTCACGAAGAGCTACTGATTCCGATCCCTAGCATAGCGGTGCAGCTTCTTCCTCCTTTGATGGTTGCTTATGTGGGCTCTGCAGCTCGCTGCTTGCAGGCAGTCATTCGTTGTTATTGGAGAACAATTTTCAACGCCACCGCCGAAAGCACTGTGACTGCTGCTACTAATTTCGACGATCGAACACCACCACACAGTAGTGTGGTCGTTGGGAGCATGTGGTTCTGAGTATGGCGATGAGTGTGCAAAATATTACGCCATTCCATCCTCCCTATTCGCACGCGCCTGAGGATCGGAGGCGAATGCCACTTCGACTTGTTTCGTCTACTTACTACTCTCTGACGACTGTGCTGGGGAAGCAGCATATGCATGTAGGTAATTGGTGGATTTGTTATTTAATTCGACGCTTCTGGACATTTACCAGTTTTTCAATAGTTTCTTGTTGAAAATCAACATTTGGAAGCTTTGTTATGGATGCGTAGCCATATTTCTGAGCGTTTGGTGATAAAATTATTGAAATTGAACCACGGGCAGCAGAGTTATTAACGTTCATTTTTTTTTAAATTTGTTACATGTTCCAATTCGGTTTTCGCAAACTGTACCCCCATATAGAAATCAAAGACGTAGTCCTACGTCAAGAGTTCACTTCTCAATTAAAGTACTTAAAAAATGAAGAAACATTCTAGAAGACATCAAAATGCTACACTCAATAGTATCGTCGCAAATAACCATGTCCTACTATTTTTTGAATTCGTCCCACTGTGTGCCGCCGCCTCACTAAAACTCTCGCCCCACGATTCGAAATACTTAATTTTACACGTGACGAAATCCATCTTTGACATAATTGATGAGACGTAAATAAACATGTCATGTAAAATTAAGTGCTCCGAGACTGAAAAGTACGTTTGATTGAGCTGAATTCTTATGACTCAATTTTATGTCAAAATTGACGCTCGTATATGTCAGTCTCAGAGCACCTAAATGTACATGAATTTTTCTAATAGCGAATTCGTTTATTCACAGTTCAACACTAGTGCAGCACCAGTTCCAACCTACCTGCTGTCAAAACGTTTTTTTTTTATTCGCTTGGTTTCACACTATTTTCGCACTAGTTTCAACCCCAAAACAGATAGGTTCACACTGTGATGTTTTACAGTTTTGCGATTCGGTTCACCAATACAACTATATCTGAGTTGTCAAATATATTGGATTGCGTGTAAACATCGTAGTGCAAAAAATGGAAGACGTAACCGGCTTGATTGTTCTGGCTGCTTCTGCCGTCCAATTATTGGAATCAGAGTCAGAATCGGATAGTGATTCTGATTGGGAAGAGTTTATTTTGATGTCCGTTCATAGGAATCCTAGAAACAAGCGAAAGCGGGTGGATAATTCCGTCAGCGACGTTGTACAGAATTTCACAGAGGAAGAGGTATAGAGTTTTATATGTACATACTGCGAATAAAATTGAGTCTATTTCAAACATATTCGAACCTTTTGCGTTGGGAACACGAACAAATTGTTTATTTCTAGTTCCGACGTCACTTCCGGCTGAAAAAAAAACACCGCTGAAACGCTCATCGTGAGGTATGAAGGGTCTGATTTTTGTAACATTAAACCGGAATTGGACGCCGTAATATTCCAGCACATTCCAGTAATATGCTTTTTTGTGGTAAGGATTCCGGCTTTGCACTATAAATGGTCCATCAGGGTTGATGTGTAACTTTTCAGGGAGCTAGGTCCCTATTTTTTTTAAGAGTATCACTTAAGTCGCTGTTTAATCCTTATGTGTTTAACAAAAAAAACACCTTTAATAGTTCGACAGGGCACCCGGATACACACAAAGTTCAAATGCTTGCTACAACGTTAAATGTTGACCGATTTAAAATCTTTTGTCCCCTTTGGATTCAGAAACTCATTCGCTTTCTGCCAACAATGTCATCTGGACACATCTGGTTCCCAGAAATCCGGGTTTCCGGTACTATGTTCCGACACAAAGGCACTATTTGCTTCTGTCGATAGAATTTCTGAGGTATGGATATCAGAATACCCGAAATTACTCAAGCAAACAATTTTAATTTGCTTGACGTTTTGTCCCTGGAATAGCCCTCCAGCGGCCATAGAAGTGTTTGAAAATAAACTCCTACAATATGGTTATAAAAATTGGGGAAAGCCTATTTGGACCTTCCGGAGCAGGTTCCTGTGGGACCTCCAGTGGCCATTGAAGTGTTAGAAAGAAACCCCAACAATATAACAAAAATCGCTATTTTCAATGCTTCAAATGCCTGAAAATATGTTGGACTTCTTTTACGATTTGTCAAAAACCATCATCCGTTTCCCGGAAACGGAAGCTGGAATGGAAGCGATTGCTACCGATTTCAGAAGTGTAAGTTTTTTTTTAAATCACCTTAAGTAGTTTCCCAAGTAACCAACAAGCCCTATATTTCGCCTTTTTGCAATATAATAGTACGTTCAAACTACAGAGTTATAACATGTTATAGTGCTATCTTGATGGTGGTTTCTGTGTTGCAGTTATTTGACAACCGTTATAACATGTTATAACTCTCCAGTTTAATGCCTTGTTCAGATTACAGAGTTATAACATGTTATAACGGTTGTCAAATAATTGCAACACAGAAACCACCATCAAGATAGCGCTATAACATGTTATAACTCTGTAGTCTGAACGGGGTATAATGCCTTGTTCAGACTACAGAGTTATAACATGTTATAACGCTATCTTGATGGTGGTTTCTGTGTTGCAGTTATTTGACAACCGTTATAACATGTTATAACTCTGCAATCTGAACGTACTATAAAACGCCGTCCAGACTGGAGAGTTATAACATGTTTTAACGGTATCTTGATGGTGGTTTCTATGTTGCAATTATTTGACAACCGTTATAACATGTTACAACTCTGTAGTCTGAACGTACTATAAGGCTGATATATGGCTACTATAAAGCTTGTACGCCCTATATTAGCTATGTAACAGCCTTATATTACAAAAAGGCGAAATATAGGGCTTGTCGATTACTTGGGTATATCAAGCACAACATGTGAAAAGGACATATAAGCTTTTTGTAAACGAACCTTTGTGTGCCCTTTTCTCATCAACCGAAGGTCGCCCACGCAAACCAACAACATCGACAAATAGGAAAATCTTTTACTTACCCGATGCTGTTGTTGGGTTGCGTGGGCGATCTTTGGTTGGCGAGAAAAAGACCTACAATTTGGTCCATTAATTATGTCACGCAAATTTGGCCCCCCACTTTGTCACATTTTTTGTATGGACCAAAAAAAATTTTTTTGTATGACTCGTCACAGTTTCCAAAACCCTCCTCTCCCTAAAAGTGTGACATAATTAATGGACGACCCCAAAGGTTTGTTTACAAAAAGCTTATATGCCCTTTTCACATGTTGTGTTTGATATACCTTTAAGCTCGGTAAAGTTCAGGATTTTTTGTGTAAATAAAATGCATATAGACGAGTTTTGGTTCCCCTGTAAAATTCGATAATAAGATCAATGGTAATGTTTTGAAGATTTAACTCAATTTATTTTTACAAAATACGTGACAAAATAATCTATTGACTATTATTTGGCTGGTTAGTATGAAATGTTATAACAACATTAAAAAATAATTATTAAAAACCTTTAACTTTATCGAGCTCAAGGGTTTGTTCAATTTTAGTATTGTACTTTTTTACGTTTCGTTTTATTTCAAAACTTTACAGGTTGCTGGTTTCCCGGATGTAATTGGCTGCATAGATGGCTGCTACATCTATATTCGAAAACCAGCGCATAAAATACGTTCAACGTACATAAATCGCCATGATTTACTCTCAATGACCCTCCAGGGGATATGCGACGCGAAGAGAAGATTTCTTGACGTCTGTGTGGGTTATCCAAGTAGAATCCACGACTCAAGAGTCTTCTCTCTATCACCGATCAGTAATGAACTACCTGGCATTAGCCATGGCAGGTACCATCTGCTTGGTGACGCCGCATACCCTTTGCGAGAGTATTTAATTACGCCATTTAAAGACTATGGCAATCTTTCACACAAGGAAAGAACGTATAATCTAAAACATTGCCAAACGAGGGTAAAAATAGAGAACTGTTTCGGGATTCTTAAACAAAGGTTTCGACAGCTGACGCGTCTTGACTTCTTCCACGTAGAGAGGATGTTCAAATTTCTTATCGCATGCTGTACGCTACACAACATCTGCACACTTAATTCAGATCACCGAAGTCGGTAGGAATTTACCGGGTTTTTGAACAGCAGAACAAGTCGGTAAAATTTTCAAATGACCGTTACACGCGAGGAATCAAGAAAATTTATAAATTTTCTTTTTCATCAATAAATGGGGTAAACCGAACAAATTCTGTACAAGTTCAGAATAAATATTCTAATAATTGGATTTTTCACTGATTTTTAAACTTTTACCGAACAGTTCTGTAGTTCAAAATTTACCGAACGATGGAGGCCTGGATTAGTGTGTGCATAAATGAAAATAATACATACATCAGTGATGATGAAGAAGATGATCCCGATCTCAATGTGGTCGATGAAATGCGAAGCAGCCAATTGTCAACCACCGGTGGCTCCCAAAGTACACGAAATGCGGCATTGCGGAGACTGGGAGAACTGAAACGTAATGACATTGCTGAAGGCTTTATGCAGTAATTGTTTTATAAAGTTTGCTTCTACTACAATACTCCACGATCCATAAAACCATTGCTTTTTTTTAATCAGCGCATAAACTCAAGCTAATATTGAATCCCGAGCAAGGCCGGGCACCCTCAGTTAGTCCCTAATAAAAATAACCATAAGAAAGAGCTTAACGACGTGTTCGGGGTATCATCTAAACCATTTGTGGGATAGTTCCGGGTTACACAGCACAAAAAAAGTAATACCGATCAACGCAATCCATGCTGATGTACGAAATATTGATGTAATAGCAAAAAGCATATACAATATTACATCTATGGATGTACATTTGTTCGCGATTTATAAGTACATCATGCAATGTAATATAACACAATCGATGGAATGACCTGGTTGCAGCAGTTTGGATGTAATATTCAACAACTTTTTTTGCTGTGTACCGTTCGGTTATGGTATTTGTTTATTAGGGATGGACGAGTATAATGACTATACGGGATATCTCAAAGATCTACTGACTATTTAATGGTAGATTGAGACAAACCGAAAAGTTGTGGTTCTCCTGTGCTACACCATTGGAAGGAGAGGGTTAGGTTTTTAATTTTTCCTTAATTGTTATATAGTCCAAATTTATATCATTTCTTTGGAATAATAACCCAATTGGACAAACGTTTATTTGATGGTTAAAAGATTGTCAGTTGTTTTTAAAACAAGTACACTGAAGTCTTTTTTACACGGTTTTTTTTACGCGGTTTTTTTTTACACGGTTTTTTTACACGGTTTTCCACGATTTACACGGTACGTTTTTAACGATTTCTCGACAACGATACAACCTATCGACTTGATTTCAATCACATTATCCGTTTCAAGCTATTTGTAATCGAATGGCATACTTAAAAAAAAAATCACAATTTTTGGTGTAAATACAGAAATTTTTAAAATATGTCTATATGGACCATATCATGCTTTAATTACAAATGGCATCAAAATCCGATTTTTTAAAAACATTTAAGCATGCAAAAAATCAAAATCTCGTAGGTTTTTTTTACACGGTTTTTTTTTACACGGACCGTATCCCCCGTGTAAAAAAAGACCTGAGTGTACATAAAATTAAAAGGAAACAAAATTAGGAACATTATTAAATTTTACAAATTTTCTACTACAATTTCTTTGAAAGTTCACTTAAGATTTCATTTAAACGGTCAAAGCGTTCCATTCTATCTGCATGCTGCCTGGCTCGCTCCGTGCTTCGCTGCTCCTTTCTCTCGCACTCCATGCAGTAAGCCTCCAACAACTGGCTTGTAGCATCGCTCCTTTTACTTGATGTTGCAGATGATGGATCTCGGTGGGAGATGATGGGTCTTCAGAGGTTGACGGTCCGTCCTCGGCAGGGCGCTTACCATTTTCGTTCACTCCCGTCTTGGTCTTCCTTCGGATGAATGTTGGTGTCATTATTATTTCAGGTCCTATGGAATCGTCTACCGCAGCTATTAGCTGCATCTTTTGGTCGTAAGGAGTAATGACTATCGAGCTTCCTGACGTTCTATTGTTATTTATTGCATCTTTATTTTTCTTCGAAACGTTTTTGAATCGGTTCTCAACCTGGATGTACGAAAAATGTACACCCAGTTGCTTACCGATTTCATCGGCAATCCACTCCCACATTTATTTTTTTTTTTTTCTTGTTTAAAACGTTTCATCGGGCCAACGCTATCCACATTGTTTCTGTACAATGTCAATAACAAAAACAGCAAAAAAATAATTTTGATATCACATCAAAGTGGATGCACTACAATCATGTCGAAAATTTCATTTTTATGACCACATAAATAAACAAATGCAGTAAAAGCAGCGTAATGTCAGTTCATGCATTGTATTAATGATAATTTTGTCCTTTTTAGCAAGTAATATTACACCATATTTTCGACATGATTGTAGTGCATCCACTTTGACGTGATATCAAAATTATTTTTTTGCTGTGTACGAGTTTGCTCTTCGGTCCACGTCATTAAAGTTTTGGTTTTAACAGTTGGTGAGGTGGCAACCGAAGATTCGAGTGAATCTTGTAGCCCTACGGATGGAGGGCACATCAATAGTCCGTAAAACCCAGACACTTGATCCAATCGAGCTTGAACCATGCCATTATCTTGAAGAGAAATGAAATTGAGAAAACAGAAAATCAATGAAAATCACATGGTATATCAGTGCTAACATTTGAAAACGGCGCAAAAGCCATTTGTAAACAAATGGTTTGTGGGCCCTTTACTCGCTACCCGAAGAACGCCCACGCAAACCAACAGCATCGTCAGGAAGGGGAAAATTTCCCCTACCCGATGTTGCTGTTGTGTCGCGTGGGTGTACTTCAAGTAGTGAGTAAAGGGCCCACAAACCATTTGTTTACAAATGGCTTTTGTGCCGTTTTCAAATGTTAGCACTGATATATTTAAGCAAGCACAAGCAAATCCACAAAAAAATTATTTAAACTTTGCACAGTTGTTGGGGACCTCAATATATATCGATAAAAGCACAGTAGGAGGATGTGAAATTGAGCCATTCTTATATTGACACAATGCCTGTTAATGGATGTTAATGTTGATAATCGAAAGCTTCTGTGAATTCCCGCATAAACGATAACCATATGGAGAGCCCAACAACCTATTTGGGTTATCATCCCAACAATATGTGGTACGGTGGCACGATTTGTGATATCGTTCATGTATGGTGTCCGTTTATTAGGGTTTCCACCTGGCTCATAATCCCCAGCACTATGCTTTTCGGCCTGGTTAACCTGGCGCCACATTGCGCATCTCGAAACGAAAGACTTTTTGTACGAACGCTTGCATGAAAAAGTTTTTCGTTTCGAGATGCGCAATGTGACCCCTGCTTGGAGGCACCAATCTCTTCGAGAGATTCTATTTTTCGAGCACTGGCGTGAAACTGGTAGGGCCTAATAAAAAAAAAATCAACTTACTACTTTTATGCCGGAGCACCACAAACTCTTCTCCCCGGCGTACGACATTTTCGAATTCATCCACCACGACTTCATAGTCTATCAAATTGATTGTCGGTCCTTCCATTTTTTATCTTTTTAAAGAAAAAATTACTTTAAAACCCGGAAATCACTGCCAGTAAATGGTAGAAACACGAGCGGCAACGACGATGAGACAGCAGGATGAAAATTTTTGACAGTTCGTAGAAACACGAAACGATCTCACGCACACCAGTATAGCGCCTCACTCGTAAAACTGTTATCGTTTTTTTTGACGTAGGACTACGTCTTTGATTTCTATATGGGGGTACACTTTGTGAAAACCTAAAATGGAACATGTAACAAATTAAGAAAGATTTTGAACGTTAATAACTCAGCTGCCCCTGGTCCAATTTCAATAGTTTTATCACCAATCGATTAGAAATATGGCAACGCATCGATAACAATGCTTCCAAATGATGATTTTCAACAAGAAATTATTGAAAAACTGGTAAATGTCCAGCATTGTCCAAAAGCGTCGAATTACCTAACAAATCCACCAATTACCTACATGCATATGCTGCTTCCCCAGCACAGTCGTCAGAGAGTAGTAAGTAGACGAAACAAGTCGAAGTGGCATTTGCCTCCGATCCTCGGGCGCGTGCGAATAGGGAGGATGGAATTGCGTAATATTTTGCACACTCATCGCCATACTCAGAACCACACGCTCTCAACGACCACACAAATTAGTAGCAGCAGTAGCAGTGCTTTCGGCGAGTGGCGTTGAAAATTGTTCTCCAGTAACAACGAAAGGCTGCCTGCAAGCAGCGAGCTGCAGAGCCCACATAAGCAACCATCAAAGGAGGAAGAAGCTGCACCACTATGCTATGGATCGGAATCAGTAGCTCTTCGTGAGTCGCTGCGGGTCGGTCATCTATGCCAAGCGTGTCACCCTCGCTCCAAACGACATACAGCTCGACAGCCTCATCCGTGTTGAACACCCAGTAGTAGTATTTGGACATTGGTCAAGGTCATCAGTTCCCGCAAGCAGCTACTTATCAAGGCACAACCTGTCTATAGAAGGTGTGGAATTGTAGGCCTGAATATATTGGTGCAATTAGTTTTTCCTCGGCTTTCATTCCGCACGATTCGTTTCTTTCGTTTAATCAATCACCCTTGTAGTGACTTCAAAAAGATTGTTTCAATCGGCGCTATGAAATTTAATGTGGATTATAGAATTTTTTGTATGTTACAAAAATTTATGAATGGTTTGCCACTAAATGTTGAGTTAATTTATTGATCATTGAATTATCACACTGTATACCATGAAAAAGCAGCCTGTTTGTGAGTTTTTGCCTGTTTTCAAGTAAGGAGTTATCATAAAAAACAAATCGCCAGCTGGTATTTCCCAGCGACTTTACAAATAAATAAAATCAAACAAAATCATCATGCAGAACTAGCTAGGATTTGTTTTACTTCATATTTCACAAAATTGCTTTCGAGTGTTAAGACATCGTCTCCCGCAAAGTTTAAATTTTTCCCTCTACCAACACATACATCAGGGCTAGATAGATCTTCACAGGATCTATAGAATCCACGCAATTTCAAAAAACCAAAAAGCACAGCATTACGAAAAGAGGTCAAGTTTCGACCAATAGCCGATAGATTTTAATTCTAAACAAGCCAATCGATTGAAAATTTATCTACCAATCTGCTAAATTGAACACTTAGTTAATTTTCAATAGGTCACTATTGAAAAATACCAAATGTCCAACTGTTGCAATGGTGATCAAAATTATCACCGAATGTCTGAAAACAGCGCATTCTCTAACACAGACTTAAAAATCGAATTCGATGCGGTCCCACTGAACGGTGCTCATTCAATCACCGTAAGTGGTGGTGTCCAGTCCAGCAGCAGCAGTAGCTGCTGCAACAGGAGTGCTTTCAACAACAACAACAACAACAACAACGAAAGGCTGCCTGCAAGCAGCGAGCACAGAGCTCATATGAGCAACCATACAGAAGGAGGAAGAAGTCCCACCGCTAGCCTAGG